TTTGCTTTGGGTTTTACAGGAAGTGGAAGTGAAATCCAGTTTCTATCAGAAGCTCAAGATGACCCTCAGAAAAGGAAGCCTGATATCAGGAAAGCCAAGTTACTGCTTGGTTGGGAGCCTGTGGTACGTACTGCAAGAGTAACTGAGTTTGTTTTGTAATAGAACATTGTTAGCAACTGAATAAATTCTCATTGCTTCCTTCTGTGGTGGGCAGATCTAATGCAATTCCTTCTATGTTGTCTATCTTCTTTTGGAATTAGTGGGAAGAAAGTTTTGATTTATTTTATATTCTTTTTTTGAAAACCAGTATTGTCACTGCTGGTGGAATATCGCTATGTCACTATTCATTCATAATAGGAAAAAAAAAGCCAAACTAGACAAATTCAGTACAAATCAACAGGGGCTCTCAAGAACCAAAGCAATTTAACAAAGGCATTGTAACGTAGGAGTCAAACTGTGCTCCTACTCAAACGCTTCTGCTATTGATCAATAAGTTATTATTGAGCACAAGTGACTGATTGTAGCTCTGCTTTTTGGGATGAGTTACCTACTTGGAGACTTTGGTATGCATGTTCCTCTGCATGTTCCTCGGGGACGTGGTGGCGCTGTGGGCTAAAGCATGTTCCTCGGGGATGTGGTGGCGCTATGGGCTAAACCGCAGAAGCCTGTGCTGCAGGGTCAGAAGACCAGCAGTTGTAAGATCGAATCCACGCGATGGAGTGAGCTCCCATCGCTTGTCCCAGCTCCCACCAACCTAGCGGTTCAAAAGCAAGCAAATGCAAGTAGATCAATAGGGACCACCTCGGTGGGAAGGTAACAGCGTTCCGTGTCTAAGTCGCACTGGCCATGTGACCACGGAAGATTGTCTTCGGACAAAAAAACGCTGGCTCTATGGCTTGGAAATGGGGATGAGCACCGCCCCCTAGAGTCGAACACGACTGGTCAAAAATTGTCAAGGGGAACCTTTACCTTTACCTGGCAGCAACAGCAGCAGCAACATTGCTGGTAGAGAAATCTGCTGCATTTAGGCTGCATGCTTTCACCAGTGTTTGTGTAGACTGGAAATTGATGCAGCTCAGTTCTTATAAGAAGTTACTGGAGTTTTATATTGTATGTCAGTGGAAGAAAAACATCAGTGAATCACTGACAGTCCTGCTTATAAGTTAAAATTAGAGGTCGTCCCTCACTGCGGTTTGACACTTCTATGCATTTCAGTGGTTCGAGCCCACAGGTACTGCGTGGGAGAGCCAGATTTGTTGGCCCACCTCCTCCTACGGACATTCACTCAGAGGAAGAGGCAGGGCGTTTGTGGCAGGAGGTGGGGTGTAGAATCTGGGGCGTCCACGCAGTACCTATGGGCCCGATCTGCCAAACCGAAACACGGTAAGTGCCCATTTCTAGTTACAATTTTTTTTTAAAAAAAAACGACCTCCCAGGTGACAAAATCCAATTTGGAGGGTTTGGGAGCTGATGCATCCCTGAAATGGACATGGGACAAGGTCAAAACAAAGTAAGAAATGCCAGATGTATTCTTTCCCAATCACGGTGTTTTCCCATCAGGGAGTGTCATTCTGTTCATGTCTGCTCAGAAGGAAATCCCACTGCCAACATCTTCCTGAATTTTTTATAGCCGCTTTCCAGTCCGTGATGGGTGATGGCAGTGGAAGAAGCTTGCAGGCGTGACAGGGAGCCGTGGGGGATTCCTGCAGCCCATAGGCTGGGGGTGTACCTTCCCCCTCGTATGATGTAGGTCGCCTGATAGTACAATTGTATAGATGTCCTGCTGAGACGTCTCATAGAATTCAGTGGGCCTTACTCACAGGTCAGGTATGTATAGCAGCAGCTGGCCAAATCTGCCCCGCTCAGGCCCATCCTTCCGCCCACAAAGGAAAATCAAAACATTTTTTCAGCCTCTGTGTGTCTTCTAATAGGTGCTGGGACAGTCTTGTCACATTTCCTAGCACCATTTTTTTTTTAAAAAAATCTGTTAAAATGTTTTGCCACTAGAGGGGGCAAGAGGTCTATTTCAGTAAAAAAAACTGTGTGTCCCTTTGAGGAATGGAGGCATTGTGGGGAAGGGAGCAGATGTAGTTCTCTGAGGTCCAAGGATGAGCATGCGGATCCCTCTCTTACTCAAAGAAATTGCATATCCTGATGCACGGGGGATTGTAACCCTTGATAAAAGTCTAGCATTGTGTGGCTATCATTTTTTAACAGTGAATGGAAACCGTGGGGCATATGTTGATATGTAGGAGAAAAAGGGTGTGTGCTACGTCTCTGGCTGGGAGAGCCTCGAAAAAGTGGAGATCGCGGCTGCTGCCCCTCGGCTGCATCTCAGAACTGGCAGGCTCTTTGCCCAGTCCCTTTAGACAGCTCTTCAGCCAGCTTCAGTGCTCCTGACCTGCCCCAGGCTGTTGGGAAAGGCTGTGTGGATTGGCCCAGCAATCCGTTGACTGAGATGTTTCCCCAACTGCATTGTCACACGATGCGAGGGTAGCGCTTCTTCAAAAGCAAAGTGTACCGCTTGCAGGCCACACCATAGTGCTTAGAGCAGTCTCTGGGTGCTTTACAATTCTATTCAATGAAGCAGGCTACACATTTGCACACACACCAACCCCCCCCCCCCGAGTTGAGTACTCAATTTACCGACCTGAGAAGGATGGAAGGGTGAGTCAGCTTTGAGCTGGTTACCTGAATCCATCGGGATTGAATGCAGGTGGTGAGAAGAGTCTTAGTTGCAGTTCTGCAGATTAAGCACTGTGTCACGAGACTCTCTAACATCTCAGTAAAATCTCTGCTGGATAGGCGAGCAGAGGTTCCCTATCTTTGGTCCCCAGAAGCTCCAGCCTGCGTGGCCAGTAGCCAAAGTTCCTAATAATTGTAGTCTAAGAACATCTGAGTTTGGAACCCCTGAATTAAAACCCAGTTTGTCAAAATGAACAGATTTAGATATATAAAAATGTACAGTGGTGCCTCGCTTGACGATGTTAATTCGTTCCAGCGAAATTACTATAGAGCAAAAACATCGTCAAGCGAAATAAAAAACCCATTGAAACGCATTGAAAACCGGTTCAATGCGTTCCAATGGGCTGATTGCCTGCTCATCCAGCGAAGATCCTCCATACGTCGGCCATTTTCGGTGCGTGTATAGCTAGGAATCTGTCCTAGAAAACAGCGGGGGGACATTTTGAAAGCCAGAGGCCATTTTGAAACCCGACGATCAGCTGTTTGCTGATCGTCCTAAAGTGAAAAATTGGTTCCCGAAACAGGGAACCAATCAACGTGAAGTGAAAAAAACCAATCTAAACATCGTTTTGCGATTGCTTTTGCGATCGCAAAAACTTCAACGTTAAGTGGATTTGTCGTTAAACAGGGTAATCGTCCAGCGGGGCACGACTATATAGGGGTTTTGCCCATTCCTCTGGCTGTTGGCAAAAGATGGATGCACATAACGGCTACATAGGTATTTTCTAGCTTTCCTTTGCAATGAAGCAAGATATTACAGATAGTGAAAGGGGAGACAGGTATTCTAGACAGAGACAGCCCTGTCTCTTTTTCCTCCATGCCTTTTCACAAAATCTTTCTGCTGCTACTCTTGAATGGGAAAATAAGAAGGCCTTAGATGTGAGAAGACAGGCTGTACTTCAAGGCTGCCAGTTACCACCTCCATATATATATTTTTTTGTATGGAACAGACAAGCTGAAAGAGTTGTCAGCCTTTATAATTCTTACAGCTTTCACAGGAAGTTCCTCTGAGTTTAAAAGAATGCTTTTCTTATGCTTAGACAAGTATTTAAATATATTTGAATGTAACATGTGTTGTGATTGTGATTCAGACTATCAGGAAGGTTTTTGTGACCAGAGAAGCATTTTTATCTGTCCGTGTGCTTTTTCTCTTTGGAAACAGGTCCCACTAGAAGAAGGTTTAAATAAAGCAATTCATTATTTTCGGAAAGAACTGGAATATCAAGCAAATAATCAATATATTCCCAAACCAAAGCCTGCCAGGATAAAAAAAGGAAGAACCAGGCATAACTGAAAACTCTCTTGGACAGGAAATAAAATCCCTTACCTTGCATTTGAAAAAGATGTTAATATTGTCTTTTTTGAAAAAGACTTCAGAAAAACAGGTATCATGAAGAAGAGAAAACTGGAATTTCACTCTGAAGCTTGCTTTAAAGAAGTGGATGTGCCTAAATTAAAAAAAAACTGCAATCTTTGCCTTGCACTTTTTAAAATCTGTCTTTTTATGTAAAATAGAAGCATCTTTTTTAGTATCTTCAGGTTTTATATCTTGCTGTGAGATCATTTTGTTGTGACTGTCCTTGACAGTTTTATTTACTGGTTTCTTTGTGAAGCTACAGATCCGATGGGAAATGCCAATTTATTTATAAAGTGGATACTTTAAATGAGAGATACTATGCATAAAGGAAAAAAGTTAGCAGTATTGTCAGGTGACAAAACACTGGCATTTAGTATTATAGGATTGTAAAAACTGTATGAGAGTTTTATGTATTCTTTTAAAATCATTTTTTTTTCCAAATGTTTAGTTCTAGTTGCACACTTGAATTTGAAAATATTTTCACTGACTATCATGGATAAATGCTATTTTGAATCACTACTGTGTTGTGCACACTCTGGGGCAAAAAGTTAATGTATTACTGGTTACCAGTGGTTGAATATGCTATTTTAATAAAATATTGAAACCTAAAACTTTCAGTAGGTAAAAATCCCATTGCAACCGTGGTGTGTATATTCATAATTATACAATAAGATAGAGTGCAAACTACTGCCAGGCGTTGGCCTTTCTTTACTCTTTGAGTTGTTCATTCTCTTGACCTTTATTAGATAAAATGTTAAACAGAATATTGTCCCACTGAATAAAGTCCACTTAAAGGTTTAGTCTGTGGATTTAAATGAAAGAGTTGAACATGTTTTTAACACTGATAATAGCTCCTTTCCCTTTTTCTTATCTATAACCAACAGCTAAATAGCTTCTTGCAGTGCTTCGTAACAAAATTCCAATGGTGTGCTCATATTGACCTGTTACACAGATGTAAAATTCCTATTTAAAAAGTGGACAAATTTTGTTGCATAACTTTGTGCCTGGCATAGCTTAGATCAGGCACTGGAAACATTTAATTGAAAGCTCCCTGTTCCCCTCCCCTCCTTCCCCCCTTGTAGATTCTGAGTCTTCCTGGGGAAACCTTTGAGAGTTTTGGGTTGGAGATGGGGAGCCTTTCAAAGTAAAAAAAAATCACTGTCTGATCAGTGGTGGTGACAGGTAACCCAGTGGCAATTTTTTTGTTTAGAACCTAAAATGGGTGGATAGAAAGCTTTTCATTGGTGTAAACTAAACATTTCTGGTGCTGGATCAAAGTTGCACTGTTTGCAAAGTTATACTATGGGATTTTCCCCGGTGTCATTTAAAGTGGTGAGAAGCATTCTGGACAATAGTAAGTAACTCTGTTATTAGCTTTGCTGTTTTAACACTGAACAGGTTTATTTGGATGGAACTACTGCAGCTGCAAGGATTCTTGCCTAACCTCCACTTCCTGCCTTTTCTGATACACGGTGTGCATTTGCAGTTCACTTATGCTTGCAACTCCAATAATTAGGTCCTGTGTTTATCTTACTGCGGAGTTGAGGCTGGTGTTCAAGAAGCTTTGTGTGGCTTTCCTCTCCTTTAATAATTCATGCAAAGAGACCTTCCCTAGAGTGACAGCAGATATCTTACCCTTGCAGCTGTAGAAAGCACAACTGTTGTTGCCATTAGAATGCCAATGTGGACCAGATTGCCCAGTGGTTGCTCCCATAGGGCAATGACACATGTACCAAATAGGGCTCATACCCTGACATCATATTAATGCACTAAACATGATACTGATGACTTGGAGGAGAAAATAGGCTCCTAGTCATTGTGATTCTGCAGTAACTTTCTGCAATTATGACATTATTTCTCTGATATTTATTCTTAAGCCACTTTTACACTGTATTTTGTAAAATGATTTTACCAAAGTCTCATGATAAATGGCTGTCCATTGTGTTGCACAGGAATACTGCATTAGGTCCCCCTCAAAAAAAAAATACTTTGGAGACCTAGTTTATCAAGAAGCTTTAATTCTAACACATATACATTGTGTGCTACTGAGTGGATATAAAAAACATTTCAAATTTTTCTTACTGATTTTAAAGAAAACACGTTCAAATGAAAAAGCAGACTAAAATATGATGAGGAGCTTATCAATCTTTCTGGTGTTTTCATGCAGAGGAGAAAAGATTAATAATCATCATAGTTGACACTTGCTCCATGCCTGAAGGTGTGAGGGTTTCGTGGGCCAATGGGTGCATCTTCATCGTAATGATGATGGTAATACCCGCCATAGTACTCATGGCCACTACGGCCTAGGCTTGACCAGTATGAGACATCATCTTCAAATTTCTGCATGCAAGGGAGAAAAAGAAGTAGCAGTTAGCTTTTAACCAAACTCTGGGAAGCAGTGAAAGACAGGAGGGCCTGGCATGCTCTGGTCCATGGTGTCACAAAGAGTCGGACACGACTTAATGACTAAACAGCAGCAGTTAGTTAGATGCCCATAGTGTCCTTAAAAAAGGAAGCAGCTTAATTTGGTTCAGGGTCACATAATAGCAGGACCATGAAGATTCGTTAGCTAAATGCCCATAGTGTCCTTAAAAAAAAGAAGCAGATTAATTTGGTTCAGAGTCACATAATAGCAGGACCATGAAGATTCGTATTTCAAGAAAAGCAGATGCAACCATACTCTTGATGTCTTAGGCAGATCTTCACATTTACTCATTCACAGCAGAACATGTCAGTGGGCAGTTAACTTCTCTGGCTGATTGGCTGGGCAGAATGAATTTGGAGCAATTAAAATAGTCACTTCTTCCTTAGGTGTTCAGAGAAGTCAAAGCCAGACTGAGTTAACCAACAGTAGACCTACAGTATGTGCATCACTTGTGAATCACAGCTCCCAAATTTATGATCAGGTTTCAGATCCCAAGATCCTCAATGGTGGATATCCTGTCCTCTTCTTTGCTGAGGGGCTTGTGTTACACATTCTCTCCATTATCTCTCTGATCCATTCTTTTGGGAGAATCTAGTAATTACTTGTACAATCCAGCCAAATTACCCACAATATGATAATAGGGCGTCCATGATATGGCTGCAAGACACCTTAGCATGGACCCCCCATAGAATGAAGTAATAAACTCAAGTGATAATATTCTGGGCTAAACCACATGCAGCATTCTTTTTAACTACATGAAAACTGGTGGATTGCTCAGTGATTTAGGGTCTCTGGCTTGGTTGAGAGTTTGATTCCCCACTGTGCCTCCTTGAGAGGGGCCAGACTCTGATCCATAGGGTCCCTTCCAGCTCTGCAGTTGTAAGATGATGACAATGGTAGTTTCTCAAGAAAAACCTTCCTGGCACAGTCAAGTCAATAAAGCTAAAATGTGGCAAAGGTGAGTTTAACACCACTTTAAGTGAATTTAGGTTCCTAGAGAAGTTCTTGCCAAGGTCGTATTCACAATGAGTTTGTCTTTGCTGGGTATTCATAGTTCACCTTGTCAACGTTCACTATCAGTAAGTAGGTTGACTCCTTTTATAGCTATGAAAGATTTCCCATACCTTTTCTAATGGATTTAATATAATTAGATCAAAAGTGAACACGAGGGAATTCCTTTCTGTGTTATGTCCACAGCTATCCAAAAGCAAACGGCAATAAACCCTATTTGCAAGAAAATGCCCTTGAATATTTGGTCATAGTATTAATTTTAACGGACAGTTTCAGAAATATAAAGGGCCATAACTGGAGTTTACGATCACTGAATTACCTGTTTAAAAGTTCAAAACATGTAACTTACAGCTTCATCAAAGCCCAAGTAGAGGAACTGCTGGTACCACTGTTGCACGTCTGGTTGACTCCTGTCCCAAAGCTGGCGCTTCTGGCGTTTCAGACTGCTTAAAAATTCCTTCGCCTTATCTTCTTTGACAGACACCTCTGCCTTAGTTGGAGCAGAGGCTGAAATAGGAGAGCCAAAAGTCTGTTAATCTGAGGATGCTATAACTTTTTTGCAAGCTTATACCAAGTAGATATTTTAGATTTACAAGCAGAGGGCTTTGGATGAGCCATTATTGATGTGTGTCTGCATTATGCACTCTTGAAGGGAGGGGAAGAAAGCACTACAGTGGTGCCTTGACTTACGACCGTCCCAACATTTCGAGTTGCGACCAGCTGTGGCCACAAAATGTTGCTTCGACTTGCAGCTGGAGCTTTGAGTTGCAATCAAAAGAGGCAGGGGGATAAAAGCAGGGAATTCAAATTAGAGGAGACTGCCTGGTGCTTCTTTCTGGTTCTGAGTAAGTACATTTACAGGGTTTTGCAGGGTGAGTTTGGGCTGGGGGGGTTATGTTTCTGTGCAATGATTTATGTGTGTGTGTTTTGGCGTGTTTATTTTTTCAGCCCCAGCACCTTTCGATGGGGTTTGCTGTGCTGTTTATTTTTGGGTTGTTTTTTAAAGCCCCAGCGCCTTCTGACAGGGCTGATGTGTGCTTTATTTTTGGTGTTTTTTTAAAGCCCCAGCCCAGTGCCTTCTAACAGGGCTGTTGTGTGCTTAATGTTTGTTTTTTTTCCAAGCCTGAGCACCTTCTGATGGGGCTTGCTATGTAGTTTATTATTATTAAATTTTTTGGCATTTTCTGGGGGGGCAGAACGGATTAATCGTGTTACAATGCATTTCAATGGGAAATGGTGCTTCGACTTACGGCCATTTTGAGTTACGTCTGCCTTCTGGAATGGATTATGGTTGTAAGTCGAGGCACCACTGTACTATTAAAAGATAATACTCTGTTTCTGCTGCCATGACAAGGCACCTCAAATACTTAACCCAGACATCATCTTTATTGCCTCCACTGTGGTTCCGCTGTCAAATATTAGGACCAAAAATAGACGGACTAAGTTTCTTACAACATTCTTTGTATAGTTTTGGAAGAGGTAGCCGTGTTAGTCTGTGCTGGCATATCAGACAAAAATGAAAGAAAAATACAAAAATGTTGTGGTACCTTAAAGACTAACTGCTATATTATAATCTGAGTTTTTGTGGTTTATGTATGAGTTTGATTTCCCCACTGAGGAAGTGACCTTGTCTATGAAAGCTCACATTAAAATATAGAAATCAGTCTTCAAGGTACCACATCATTTTCGCTTTCCATTTTCTTTCTTTCTTTCTTTTTTGCACAAGATTCTCTTTTTGTGGACTGAGAGATAGGTCAGTGGTTTATGTACGAGTTTGATTTCCACACTGAGGAAGTGACCTTGTCTATGAAAGGTCACATTAAAAAATTGCAATCAGTCTTCAAGGTGCCACAACATTTTCTCTTTCCATTTTCTTTCTTTCTTTTTTGCACAAGATTCTTTGTATAGTCTGGCCAGGTAAGGAAAACAGTTTGCTCATTCTAGCAGCGTTGCTATACCATCCTCCTATAAACTTCTGTTCTGTGGGTGCATGAAGTGACTCAAGGTCACCAATAACCTTCACCCTAAAGGCAGGCAGCAGCCTAATGGATAACATTCAAGGATTGATCTTGTTTGTCCACCAGCTCTTGCTCTGCCCACTTTATAGGTGTGCGTTTAAAATGTGCAATGATCTGCAGTGGCAAAAGAGGCCGTAAGGTGAGAGACATGAAATGGATGGGGGGATGGGGGATGGGAGAAGAGAACTGCACCCAACATAGACACTATTTCAAGCAAGCCTCCTGGCAAAGGATTATATTTTATGCACAACTGTGCAAAAGAAATTAAGTCCCAGGGGCTATGGAGTGGTTACACTCAGCCTTAGTATAAAGCATTCTCTGTTTTGGTTTTGGGGGTTGTTTTTTCATCCAAGATGCATCACACATGAACACAGTACCAATAATGTTGGTTATAAAAATACGAAACGTATTGGAAGGAAATGAAAGGCTTGTTCACATGATCAGCGAGCTGGCTTACATTCAGGGTGAAAAATGCTGAACTGAAGGCTCACAATTTAAACCACGTCTGTGCCAGGATCCAAATTAATCATCCAACTGTAATGGATTTTATGAAAGACATTTTAAATTTTATGAAATTTAGAATTTAACCAGTCAATAGAATGTACCCAATTAACTGCTTTAAGGCTGCAGTGACAAGACAGCTGAGTTTAGAATCCCTCTGCGTTACTGTAAAAAACCCTGATCTGATTACTGTAACAAAGACTCTTCTGAAAATTCAACTGGTTCAAAACTGTGGCAGATCTATGAAGTGCATCTGTACCCTCACCTTTTGCAATGGCTTTGCTGGCTACCATTTTGTTTCTAAGCACAATTCATATGAGTTGAGTCCAAGCTCTACTGGAGACTCTGTGAGCTTGCAAAAGCGTTGAGCTCCTTCCCTCACATTTGCTTTCATCAGAGGCACATTTGTTGACAATGTGATGAGGGCTTTCTCAAAAGCTGCTTCCAAACTTTGGTGTCTCCTCCCAAAAGAGAGAGGGCTGTTGTCTTTCCACCAATGTAGCGCTTTTTCTTCAGGCCAGCTTCTGGTTATTGCCTGACTGCTAAGGACAGGGCTTTCAGTAAGTGACTGTTCTACTTTTTAATTAAAATTACTGATATGCTTTTTATATTATGTTAATTCAACTTATTTTCATATTATGATTTATTGTTTTATATGTACCTGTTTTTTTAAAATCACATGGTGAGCTGCCTTCTGTCTCAGTTCTGGGAGAAAGTTGGGATATAAATCAAGTAAATAAACAGATAAAACAAATGCTTGCTGACTGTGTTTGGAGATGTTGCTAACCATAGTTTACTTCAGTGTGATTCACTCTTGGGTTTATTTGAATGCACTACTGTTCTCCAGTATAGCAGCAAGTGGTACCATTTGCAACTTTTGTTTTTATGTATGAACTGCGACAAATGGGTTCCCTTAACTATAGTTTGTCTGAAAAACTATGGTTCATCTGAAACTTCAAATGCTGATTTATGATCCTGGCTTGTTTGAATAAAAACATGTTAAACCCAACAAGAGTTTCTTGTTTGAATCTCAAATTGGGGTTAATAAAAAATGAAAGCATCTACTTTGACTCTAATAATTACTAAGCCAGAGAAGGAGGGGGAGACACCAGGTCATTGAGATGACACAGGCTCAGAGGACAGTTATGTCCTCTCATTATGCTCATTAGTTTTTGCACATGTATCTGTCATGTAATTTTACATGCTGAGCTCTACCTTGCATGGTGCTAACAATGTGTATCTGAGGTCTCTCATCTAACTTCTATTTTTGTATTTTTTTAAAAAAAGCATCACATCAAGTCTATGTGGTGACCTGTGAATTTTCTATGATAGTGATAGTACATTACAAACTAGCCCCATATATTGTGCTGACATAATAGGGTAACAGGATATGTTTGCAACCTGATCCACACCTCACAGATTAAATGTGTACTGAAAGTTGCATAAGAGCATCTCAAAATGCAAAAAATAAAATATATATGTAAAATCATATTTTTGTGAGAAAATATGGGGAAAGCAGGTATTGAAGTTCATGCAAACAGGAGGCAAAAGTGACTCATGAATGATAATCTAGAACCCCACAGGTGTTTGTGTAAGGTCTACATAACTTGTTGTAGCTAACTGGCAAACTGCTGGGGTGTGTATTGGTTATGATATCAGGCACATGACCTTGTCAGTTGGCCATTATTAGCTGTCGAAAGCTATGCAAACATTCCACAAACACTAGTAGGACTCTGTCCAAGCTGACACAGACTAGAAATAGACTGATGTACCTGTCCCTAATTCCAGTCCCTGTGACAGGTGCCACCACTAAATAATGGTCTAGAATTATATGCCTCACCATTTCGTGTCTTAATATACAGGCCACCTCTATTAGGATGAAAAGTAGATTCAAGGACATGATTTAGAGCACGAGTAGTGACTCTGCATGCACGCAGGTTCCCACTCACTTCATAGACTTTCCACTCTCCTGCTCCAACCCCTAGAATCCTCTACTAGATTTCTACTCCGGGGTCCTTTCTGTTGCAAATACAAGACTGGAACCTTAACAGTTTAATTATCCTTCTTTTGAAAAATGCTTCTCTTTCATAAGGTGCTTCTCCCTTCTACGATCCCCCTCTGTAGAGGAATAATAGGTGATGGGACTTCAGGACATAACATTCTGGCAGAATGGGTAGTTCTAGCCTGAGCCCTGCTTCCTTCTTTCTCTCCTGACAACTTACCGCTAAAGAATTATATAAAAGTGCAGACTGACAGAGCAGGCTCACCTTCTCGTCTTTGAAGCATCAGCTTAAGTTTGTTTCCCCTTGAAACACCTAAATGAATTCAAAATCAGTATCACGTAAACACATTAGGGTTAAATAAAGGTTAAAAGAATTTAAATGGTTTTTAACGTAAACAATTTAACCATTGAAAACCATACATATATAAGAAGGGCACAACTTAGTGAAGCCATTATCCTTTAAACCTCCAAGGGTCTGGCGAACAGGCATGTTTTAATTTGGTATCGAAATGAAATCAAGGTCAGCACCAGTCAAAGGAGAGACACTCTCTCAAAAAAACCAAGTTCCAAGCCATTAGGACTTAGTAAGTCGCTATCAATACCTTGAACTCAGATTGAAAGCATATTGGCAGTCAGTACAATTCTTTCAGAAGGAATTCTTTCATGTGGGTTCTGAGAAGTGTTCCTGTCAGCAGTTTAGCTACTGCATGGTGTACCTGTTGCAGCAACCAGGGCTAGCCCTACATAAAGTGCATGACAGTAGTCTGGCTAGCAAGTTGTCTCTCCCTGGGAACAGACCTAGCTGGCTGGCCAAACAAAGCTGAGCACAGGTACTCCAAGCCACTAAATGCACCTGGGCCTCCAGGGACAGCTATGGATGTCATCTGTCTTTGGACAAAACGCTGGCTCTATCGCTTGGAAACGGGGATGAGCACCGCCCCCTAGAGTTGAACACGACTGGTCAAAAATTGTCAAGGGGAACCTTTACCTTTTACAATTCTTTCAGAAAAGTGTTCCTGACAGCAGTTTAGCATGGTGCACCTGTTGCAGCAACCAGGCCACCTTCAAGGCTAGACCTACATAAAGTGCATGACAGTAGTCTGGCTAGCAAGTTGTCTCTCCCTGGGAACAGACCTAGCTGGCTGGCCAAACAAAGCTGAGCACAGGTACTCCAAGCCACTAAATGCACCTGGGCCTCCAGGGACAGCTATGGATGTCATCACTGCACAGTTGTAAACTGTGCCTTTCAGCTACTTATCATGCGTACCCTGCTCAGAAAAGAACAATAGTGAGGGAGAAATATCAATTCTCAATAAATGTCTCTCCTTTTTTTGCCATTGAGATCTTTTTTTTCTCTACCAACCAATGTAATGAGATGACTAAAAGCATTTTTAAAAAAACACTTTTGGAAGCAGAGGTTTAGAATGGCCATATTTCATGGCTGCCATTCCCCCCCCCACACACACCATTCTCTTAATAGCTTTTACAGCTACATACCGATCACATACTAAACTTTCTAAACGTTATGCTTTTTCTATTAGTGCATCTTTGTGCTGGGAAAACATTCAGCTGGTGACTTTCCACATGGAGTCTATTAAAATATGTGAGGGAAGGCACTCCTGCGCAGAATGGGTTCATTTCTTCTCTTCCTGGTCTCATTGTTAGTGAAAGGGCTTTTAATTTTAGTTCCAACTTTAGCATACCAACCAATGAGATGCCTAAAAACATTTAAAAAAAAACACTTTTGGAAGCAGAGATTTTAGAATGGCCATATTCCATGGCTGCCATTTCCCCCACCCACCCACTCACACACCCACCATTCTCTTAATAGCTTTTACAGCTACATACCGATCACATACTAAACTTTCTAAACGTTATGCTTTTTCTATTAGTGCATCTTTGTGCTGGGAAAACATTCAGCTGGTGAATTTCCACATGGAGTCTATTAAAATATGTGAGGGAAGGCACTCCTGCGCAGAATGGGTTCATTTCTTCTCTTCCTGGTCTCATTGTTAGTGAAAGGGCTTTTAATTTTAGTTCCAACTTTAGCATTCCCTTTTCACCCCTAATGTTCCCACATACACACTCCGAAACCAGGAATGTAACTAAAATACCATCTTTTTATATGACCCCCTTCAGGATCCATTCTTGTCAATCATTCCATTTGGGATGGAAAACATTCGGATGAGAACCCTTTCAAAATAGGTTCGTTGAGGTTGCCAGTTTCTTTTCTAGAGCTGAACCTCTCTAAAGCTCAGGGTTAGAGGGATAAAAAAGAGAGAGAGAGGAGGAAATTGGGTTGCGGTGGAAAGCAGGCAATTATTTTTTTCTCTCTCTCTCAACGGGATGCTGAACCCGGGTTTTCTGTCAGGCTGTGCTACGTCTTGCTACCCTTTTTTGACTCGGACCTTCGCATCCCTCTCCAGGCGCTCAGATTTCAGCAGTTGGGGGGCCGAGGGAGGAAAAATCGGCGCACCCCCGTTGCCCGGCTTGGATACGCAAATACCTCCCCTCCACTTCCTATTCAGTTCCCATAAGTGTGTGTGTGTGGGGGGGGTGTCTCTCGCCTTCCCCTCCGTGCGTGGCCGGGGCGGACTCACCGGGACTCCAGCAAAGGAGGAGGACAAGGACCAAGGCGGCCAAGGAGAGCGCCCCCCGGCCGGGCCAGGCGGAGAGAGGCGGCAACATCTTGGCGGGAAGCTCCGGGCGCGTTTCGCCGACACCACCCCGGCGTTCCTCCTCCTTTCCTCTCACCTCGGGCAGGAGCGAGAGGCGCCTCCGAGCGCAAGGCGAGGATGGCGAAGGGGAGGAAGACGACGACGAGGAGGAGGGTCGGGGCTGGGGCGGGGAAAAAATGGAAGTCGCCGTCTCCGACGTCCGTGAGCAGGGGGGAGGCTGAGCCGAAAACCTCCAGGTTCCTGCCCAGTTCCCTCCCGCCTGCCTTCCAGTGCCAAATCCCTTCTTCACGGAGCAGCCAGTCAAGGGGAAATTTTGTTTCAAAAAAAGGAAAGGCCGCTCGTGTTCTTGGGGGGGGGGGGTTAGGGAACCACCTGGAAGCAACACTTTTGCCCAGTTTCAAGGACTCCTTATCTCCTCTACGGGATATAGTGAGCTTCCATGGAGATGATGGCAGTGGTCGGCCCAAATCCAACCCTGTCGGAGGGCGTTAATGGGGGGGGGGGAGAGACCCAGGGCTGCTTTTGTTGTTGTTGTTTAGTCGTTTAGTTGTGTCGGACTCTTCATGACCCCCTGGACCAGAGCAACCCACAAAGTATCGGAGGCTCAGCTTCAGGATCTGTCCTTCCAGTGAGCACTCAGGGTTGACTTTCTTCAGAACGGATAGGTTTGTTCTCCTTGCAGTCCAGGGGACTTTCAAGGGCTTTAATCAAAGAGATCATCAGATTGTGGTCCTCCTGCCTTTCTGCTGATAAACAGCAGGAGCCCTCCAGCCAGAAGCATCCATGCTTGGCCCAGGTTCTGTTTACCACAGATTGGGAGGGACGTTTCCTAATCTGTGGTAAGGAGCACCCAGGCAAAGAAAGTATGGACACTTCCAGTTGTAGGGTGCCTAGTGATTAGGAGGTGCTTCCACTAAGAGGGAGTCTCTGGAGCACCTGGAAGTCAGAGGCTGGGAGGTGGATGCCTTCTAAGAGAAGAGCCAGCCTATGGAGTCCGGGGCCAACCAAACAGTGCCTGTGGGACCCCCATTAGAAGGGAATAGTCGCATCCTTCCGAGTACTTTATACCTAGGAAACCCTGACAAGGGTTGCCATAAAACAGAATTGATTTGATGGCACATTAACAGTAGCTGTTATCTACTGTGTTTAATGGTATGTATTTTAATGTATTTAATATATGTATTTTAATGGTTCATTATTTCTACTGCATAAGTTATAGATGTGTGTGAGAGAGAGTGTTAGTGAGCCGTCCTCCATCAAAATTGAGCAGGAGGAAGTCTGTGAATGTGTAGAAGGGGTGCTTATAAATATAGAAGAAGAAGGGATGACAGGACAGAGGGCTATAGAGGTGTGTATCAGAAGATCAAGGGGGGGAGAAAGGGGAGGAGCAAGATTTGATAATCTGGGAGGAGGTAATAAAAGAACGAGATGACACGTGTGAACTGAGAATTCAAAGGGAACCAGGAGAAAGAGAGACAAGGGATTGTGTGGTGCAGACTGAGAAAGAAGGAGAAACTCCAGATAAGGTCTGTAACCTGATAAAAGACTTTCCTAATTCGAAGACTGGCAGAGGATTCCTGCCCGAGCTGGAGTTACCAAAGGTGGAGAAGAAAAGACCATCTCTTTTAGAATGGACCGTGGTAGTATACCCCTGCAACCAAGGTGGGGGGAGGAGAGTGATTCGTCCCAGTCCCTCCTACAACGTTCCACCTCTAGAAGGGGACTGGGCAAGACACCCCTGTTATGGGACGGTATGCGCAGTCAGGAGTACCCCATTGAGAAGAATGATGGATCACGAACGCTTTGGTCCAGCCCCAATGTAAGGAGTGAGATATCAACTCCAGGGACAAAGGTTTTGAGCTACAAGACGCTGCCAGAATTCAGTTGTTTAGACCTTTTCAATTTAGTTACTCTGGATGCTGAAGTTAATAAATTTGAATCAGCTGGAGTTTTGAAATCACCTCCACCTCTTATTCCCGCGAAAAGAAGGGACCCGTCACCAAAATATGAAGAACCCAATCACAATGTATCATTTGCCAGAATTAAGTTGTTTAATCCCTTTCAGTTTAGTTACTCTGGATCTGAATCAGTTGGATTTTTGAAATTGCCTCCATCTCTTATTCCCGCCAAAAGAAGGGACCCGTCACCAAAATATGAAGAACCCAATCACAATGTATCATTTCATGATTTATTATTATATTTTGGTTTTGATTGTTTTTTGTTCTTCTGTGCTATAAACTCCCCAGAATGGCCTTCAGCTAGGTAGGCAATAAATCAATCCAACCAATCAATTCTACTGGCATGTTGCACTGATATGGGCAATCAATCAATCTAATCAATCCAATCAATCAATTCTACTGGCATGTTGCACTGATCCTTTGTGTGCTTGTTTGGTAGTTTTTAAGCACATCCCATTTCTTGAGATTATTATAATAAGAAGGAGAATTTTGCTTCAGAAAGAAACACTGAGAGATGAAGAAAATCTAGGAATAATGAATTACTGGTTTGATAAAATACCACAAAATCAGATGAGTTTAGTCCACTAGGATACCAGAGAATCGTCTCAGTGGTTAAAAAACGAACAACAACAGAAAAACCTCGCCCAAGGTTTAGAATATTGCTTTATAGCAGGAGTGATTTTGGACACACACTCATGAATAAGAGAATTTTGCATCACAACAAATAGTTATGTTAAGCACCAGGAGTCTTGCCATGATGTTTCCCTGTAAATACCATGGTAAATTTGGAAGCGCAGGTACTAATTACGACAGTCTCCTTTCATACAAAGAGTTCAAACATGCCGGTTGATGGGTCAGTATGTATCCATGGTTGGTGAACAAGTACTGTATTTTTTGCACCATAAGACACCATGGTAAGAAGCGCAGGTACTAATTACAACAGTCTCCTTTCATACAAAGAGTCCAAACATGCCGGTTGATGGGTCAGTATTTTGTATTGTTTAGGGCTCTTAATCATCTATCCAAGACCAAAGGTATTTTGTATTCCTAAGGGCTCTTAATCATCTATCCAAGACCAAATCACCTTCCAATACTTTGCATTACACAACAGAGATGGCTTGAAGCAACCTGTGGTTCTCAGCTGCTGTAAGAAATGTAATTGAGTTCACAGCAATAAGAGAGCCTGGAGTGGAGTGGTAAATTATGTCATAGGCAGAAAGCCCTGGGACTTCCACCCTGTAAGAACTGGCTTCTCTATGCCACGGTGTAAATGACATACTCACCAATATTTTGGGACATAATTTTCCTCTCATCTTAAAGTGTGAACCAAAAACATATTTGCCAGATCATATTCTAATCGAACCTAAAATTGCAGGATTGACAATAGGATGGCAGGTATTTGATTCAGATGGCAGAAAAGAAGTAGGCAAGTCTGTCTATGAAACTGCAGTGCATAATTTACACAGTACCTCACGGAAGCTGGAAATGTATAAGGAACCATTGACAAGTTTTATTTACCTGAGAATAAATAAAAAATAAAACAAACATGAATAGTTTTTGCTCATAAATACCCATTTCAACTAGTACGACAAGCAATGGCTTGCAAAAGTGCAGGTTAGAAAAGCAGATGCATGGCTACTTGTCAAAATTAATTGCAAAGGCTCTGCCATTATCCAGTGATAGAATTATATCATCATTTAATGTATGCAGTTCTACATGTTCAATTTTATCTCTGGTAATGCGCTATGTAATATATCTGTGAAGATTCTCAGTCATCCAGGAGAGGTTAACTGGAAGCTGAGTCATGGCAACTGGACTCATTTCTTTTTAGGTTGAAAATTTTCGCTACTCATCCAAGTAGCTTCTTCAGTCTGAGGAGAGTTGGTAGGAGACCCCTGATATATTTCAACCTAATAAGAAAGAAGTCCAGTTGCCATGAGTCAACTTCCAGACACTATGCAATGTGCACTGTTCTGTGTGTCCAGTTTTATCTTTCCTAATTCTGGAAGACCACGACTCGTAAAAGACAGGAAAAAATTCCCAAGGTCAATCTCTGGAATTGTAAGCAACAAAAAAATTAGTATAATTTTAGCAGGATGTAATGCTTACAGTTTAAACCACTAACTATTGGTAGAATTTATGTGTGCCTTGTTCAGGAAACGTTTGGGACCACAGTTCTCCTTTAAAGCGAGTGAAAATGTGGAGGGAGAATGTGCTACTGGATTTTGAATTTCTAAAAAATTCAGTGGGAAAATGAACAGAGGGTGTACATTGCTCATGCTTGCTCTAGTACTTCTTCAGTTCTGATAAAATTCAAGTGGCCTAGTTGGAGCTGTACAGCATCTACGACAGGGTTTTCCTGGCATTGCATCTGTGTTTTAACACTTCCCCCCCCCCATGGTATAACTGCAGGAAGCCAGGACACCTAGATAATCTGGAGGTCATGAGGGTACATCAACTGTTATTAGGTGAAGAAGGTTTCTCACACAGTCTGATACACAGGATATCTTAGGAGGGCCTTAGAATTATGGGAGAGTGGGGCTTATACAAACTTAGAACTGGCTGGATGGCTCAGTTGAGTGAGTTATTTGGCTATGGAGCTGAAGTCTGGGGGTTTGATATATTCGCGAAGAGGGTTTGGTTCCCCACTTGTGCCTCCTAAGGAAAGGAACCAGCCTGTATAGCTTTGAACAAGCTGCTCAGTCCCAGAAATACCTCTAGAAGAAGGGAATGGTAAATGAGTTCTGAGTGTTCTCTGCCTAGAAAACCTTGGAAAGGATCATCAAAAGTCAGAATTGATTTGACCTCATAGAGTTCATCATCATAGGCATCCTTCAGTCTCGAGAGACTATGGTAACGTGCTCTGAATCGAGGAATGTCCTCTCCAGAGCATGAAGCCCGGGTAAGGTAATATGGAGGATAGGCTGTTACCCAAGCAGCAGATCCCCCCTCTCCACATTGCTGAAATGGTCCAATGGAAAGGCAAGAGCCAATACGACTGGTTCCAGCAACGTCGCAGGAGTTGGCAGAACGACACATACTGCCTTCGGGACTCCAGCTCCGGATTTTGCCTCGAGGTTAACTCCTGAAGAGAGTTATAGTATTGTTATATACAAACTTTTAATGTGCCTATCACTCTCACAATAACACCACAATCCATTGTCGCGTTCATCCTCAAGCAAGATCTATGGATTTTCCTCAGTTTCTTTCAGTAATGGCAAATACAACTCTGCTCAGTTTCCCCGGGACCCCAGTAAAGTCTAGCCTTCCTCATCCTGTG